CCTTGTTTTGGGTTCTCCTGTTTCGGCTCCCAAGTTTGTGGGCATTCAGCATTTGACTACGACATATGCTAGCACTGCTTTAATATAAAACACGTTATTTCAAACATCTGGCCGACGCCTCTGCTCCTTAGGAAAGCATCCTATTCGTCCTGCAGTTTTGAGTCCCCAGCACAACCTGGCCACCCCCACCGTCACCCTCCGCCCGGGGCAGCAGTATCCCATCTTCACTCACTACCTTTCTTGGGGTGGGGATGGGGGAAAGCAGTCTTTATACAGGAACTTTGGGGGACACTGGGTCTGGGGGACACCCCTTTGCTGGTAGCAGAGGCTGCTCAGCTCTTTCCTCCAGGCCCTGTCCCCTGGGACAAGGGGCTGGGCGCTCACGAAAGGGCCTGGTGGCACATGCAAATTGCCCTCATTCCCTCATCTGGGGACATGAGAATTTGTCCCCTGGGCCTACAAAGGAGCCCGCAGCTGAATCCCAGCTCCCAGCCACCCTGTTCTGGGACCGCCCAGGCTTCCGTCTCAGGATGGCCAGCGTCACTGGACACTCCCCGCCCCCTGCCCCGTTCACTGCTGGAAACCCGCCCCCAGAGTTCCAGGTATCCCAGGAAAGGACAGTCACACCTACAGAACACAAGCTGCATTGCAGGGCCGGGCAGGGTTGCACAGCTACAACACCGAGGCCCATGTGCGGGCTCACAGACCTCCTCGGTGGCAAGGCCGGGGACTCTGGCAGAGCTGGCTGCGGCCCCGCCTGTAACGGACACCTTCCTGTGCCGCACCTGCATCCTGCTGACAGAGGGCAAGTTCCCCGGGGACAGGGCCTGCGTGCTCTGTCCCCCAGCTCTGAGGAGCCGGGCCTACTGGCTGCTCGCTGATTCTAATCAGCGCCTGCAGCTCCCGTCCAAAGACCCGCGTCTCTCCTCTGCCTGCTGGCTGCCTTCTGACTTCCTGAGAACACAGCTCTCCACCCTGACAGGCTGCCCGGGGAAACCCCGCTGCCTCTCTGCCCCGCTCTGCGCTGCCCCGGGCCGGGCTGGCCTCCCAGGCTCCACCAGAGGCCTCCTTCACACCCCCGGCAGGTCGAGGGCTGGGCAGAAACTTGTGAGTCCCCTGTCCCCTGCGGGAAGGGGATGGGCCGGGGGGACTGCCCCCACCCACACTCGCTGCCTGGGCTTAGGTCTTTGAACAGCCTCCCTTCCTCCTTCAACCCAGCCACGGCGTCCAATCTCACCCCCAAAAAACCCCAAGAAGCTTTCGGGGAGCAATGAAGCCAAAAACTCCTGTCTTGGGCAAAAGGAGGCGGAGAAGTCTATGGAGTGGCTCCGAACCCTGGCTCCCAACGGGAGGTCTTTTAAAAGGTACAGGTTGGGGGGCTCAGAGGAGGCTGGGTGGTAGGAAAGCCCTCAGTGGGTCCATGTGTGCTATTCCAGTGACAGGCACACTGAAAGCTGCACTGTGCCAGCACGCAACATAACCACGTAACAAAGTGACACTTGTGACCCAGACGTTTATACCAAGAATAACACAGGTGCCTGGGGCACGACAATGACAGACCATTTAGATCAGAATCCCTGGGGGTGGGGTGAGCTGGGTCCAACGAAGGGTTAAGCTCACAGTGGCTTCACCATTTGGTGAAAGAGGCCAGACCAGAAGCCCAAGGCCTAAGCATGCCAGGCCAGTCCCCTCCCTCCCTTTAGGACTTAAGGGCCGAGGGACAAATTTCAGTTTTGCTAGGATCCCACAGGTGGGGGAAGGCAGCAGCCTGGGTGCCCGGGGCCAGCCCCACCTTTCCTCCCACTGCCCAAGGGAACCCCGGGACAGACGTCAGACCGTGTGCCTGACCTCTCAGTCTTGAGTCCCTGGGGCTGTCCTTCCGGCCTGGTACTGAGGCCTCACTGCCCTTGCACTAAGGCTGATGCTGAGGGAGGGGTCACCCGCTGGGCCTGGAGGCCTCGGCCCTGTCCAGGGTCCTGACTCAGGCCGGACGGGGCCCTGAGCACTTTCCTCAGCTGTGGGGCACCTTGCTCACTCAGTGCAGGCCGCCCCGTGATTTGCACTCCTGGGGGGCCCCCGCCTGGTCATCACAGGGCGCCCTGCGCATCTGACCCAAACCCAACCCAAGCCTTTCCCAGCTGCGGGTTCGCCAGGCCCTGCCTGCGCTCTGCTGAGCGCCCCTCACCCTCCAGTTTAGAGAGGAGACGCAGGAACAACAGGTTCCATGGCTCTGCGGCCACGGGTGGGTGGGTGGGGGCCTGCAAGCGTCCCCCGCCAGGGACTCCTGCCAGACTAAGAGCAGACCAAGTGACCAGCCTGACAGCCACTCTGCAGGCTTCACACTCCAGAGCCCTGGGCAGGCGGCCTCCCCAGGGTGTCCGAGGCCCTCGCTCCAAGCCCAGAAGACTACAGACAAAGGGCCCCCAGCTCCAGCCCATTCGCAGAAAGTGAAGACAGCAGCCCAGCGAGGAGATTCCCTGCAAACGCTTTCTCCCGCCGCGTCCTCGCTGTCACCTCCAGCCGCTCGTGAGCCAAGTAACTGGGAAGCTCTCACTGGAGTCTCCCCTCTGCCCACGGTGACTGGGAATCAGCCTTCCCACTTAGGGGACAGGGGAGGCCCTGCAGGCTGCTCCCCAGCCCACGACAGGAGGGAAGGCTCGTCCTCGGCAAAGGCCAAGGCTTCCAGGCGGGGAGGCTCCCTCGGCCCTCCGGGACTGGGACTCCAGAGGGTAGGTGTCTCCCAGGCAGACCTCACGTGTCGCCAGTCCCCAGCAGGGCCGGCCATCAACACTCTTCTCATGGTTTGACTGTTTCCAGGTGGGGAAAGGTACAAAGGCTCTGGGCTAGAAAACCCAAGAGGGAATCTTCTGCCCCATGCAAATTTTGTTTTGTTTTGTTTTGCTTTCTGAGACAGAGTCTCACTCTGTCACCCAGGCTGGAGCACTGTGGCCCCATCATAGCTGACTGCAGCCTCAGACTCCTGGCCTCCAGCGACCCTCCCACCTGAGCTTCCCAAAGTGCTAGGATTACAGGCTTGTGCCGGCCCTGCCCCATCCTGGCCTGGCCCCATGCAAATGGACCTTGTTTCTCAGCCTCTGTGGACACCTATTTCCTCCCAGGCAGCCTGATCCTGGGCACTGGGGGCAGCCAGGTTGCTGGTGCATGGAGAGGCAGCCCCTCCTCCCACCAGTGCCAGCAGAGAGCGGGACAGGGGAGGGACAGAACTCCCCCCCCATGTCAACCAGAACCACCCCTGACAGCAGGAGGCAGGTGGATGCTCAGAGGCAGGTTCCTTACTTCCAAAACCGGCATGACAATTCCTGCCTCCTATGACCGGGAAGGCACAAAAAGGTGGCTACTGTTTTGCTAATTCAACAGCTGCAACTGGGGAGTCCCTGTGGGTCACAGGACTGAGGAGTCCCAGCTAAGAGGGGGCAGGGCCCCCCAAGGCCCCACCTGCCTTTTGCTTCCCAGGCTGCACTGAGGCACGCCCCATCCCCCACCCAGCAGGGCGACTCCAGAGAGCCTTACAACTGCATCCTCTGCCTCCCCCCTGCACTCCCCACCGTAACTGCTCTCCCAGAGATAATCCCGGCCACCTCCACCCCTCCCCCACGGGGCCTGGGGAAGGACCTCAGACTTGGCAGGGGGCAGGGAAGACAGGGCATCAGGTCTCAAAGGCCCCCACTCCCACCTCCCAAGGGGAGGATCTTAGGGTAGGGCAGCTGGAGGAGGGTGGGAGGAGGAGGAAGAGAGGTGCTTTTTCAAATGCAAAGCTCGGTGGAAGCACCCCTCGGGGCTGGCTGAAGAGGAGGCACCAGGATTGCCCCAGCGGAGAGGAAGGGAAGAAGAGGCCCTGGCTTGAAACAAAGATGCCCTCCCCCACCCCATGGCATGGGCTCTGCCCCAGAACTCTGGGCCTTCCTGCCCTTGGCATGTCAGCCCATGGACTTAAGGTCTTGGCTATTACAACCTTGGGGTCCTACAACAGGACTGAGAATGTGGGCGAGTTTCAATATCCCCAGTAGTGTCCAGCCCAGCGCCTGGCTGCTCTGTAGGCTGCAGCACAGTGTCCCGCTTATAGGCCAGATTTGGGGCCAGGCACAGTGGCTCATGCCTGTAATCCCAGTACTCTGGGAGGCCAAGGCAGGAAGATTGCTGGAGCTCAGGAGCTCAGACCAGCCTGAGCAATAGTGAGACTCTGTCTCTACTAAAAATAGAAAAAATTAGCCGGGCATGGTGGCACATGCCTGTAGTACCAGCTACTCAGGAGGCTGAGGCAGGAGAATCGATTGAGCCCAGGAGTCTGAGGTTGCTGTGAGCTAGGCTGATTCCACGGCACTCTAGCCCAGGTGACAGAGCAAGACTCTGTCTCCAAAAAAAGAGGCCAGGTTTGAAGCCCCACCTCTCTTCCCCATTTTTGGAAATAGAGTCTCACTCTGTTGCCCAGGCTAGAGTGAGTGCCATGGCGTCAGCCTAGCTCACAGCAACCTCAGACTCCTGGGCTCAAGTGATCCCCCTGCCTCAGCCTCCCGAGTAGCCTGGTCAAAGCCAGGAAGGCTCCAAACGCAGGTGCACATGACTAACTGGGTGGCTCTGGGAACCCCTCTTTAGTAAACCTTTGTCACCCTTGGCTCAGCCTCCAGAATGTTCCAAACTTGACTGTATTTTTTTTTAATTAATGAATTTTTTTTTTTTTTTTTTGCAATTCAATCTGAGCACCAATCCTACTGCTTCTGACTCCACTCCCACCAGCCAGCTCTAAGCTCTGCTGGACGACTGCACATGGTCTCCCTTTGTCACAGCGGCCGGCCATCGGGACTTTCCGTCACAACATCAGACTGCCTCATCGCCCGGTTTGCGGTCCTTGCAAAGCTTCCCCTCTCGGATGGACAGGAACACCTTCGCCCTGTTCATCCACTCAGCCACCCCCCCCCACCACATCCTCACTTGGACCTGCTCTCCTCCCCATGGCCTCTGGGAAGCTCGTCACCACCCACCTCCGAGGGCTTCTTTTCGTTCTGCCGGGGCCAGCCCGCCTTGGTGCTGCTGGGCAGTTTGGAGCATCTTGACGCCGACGTCGACGTAGCGTGACCTGCGAGGAGAGGACAGTCCGTGAGGGGTCCTGGTGGCCAAGAACACCGCCCACCTGTGTCCAAGGACAGGAGGCCTGTAAGGGAGCCCTGGCTTGAACGTTCAGGAAGGGGGGAACTCTGCGCCCGGCTGGTGGACTGCCCCTGCTATGGGCCTCAGTCTCCCCACTGATGAATGGGCACACGAAGCCTCCTCCGCTCGTCAAGCAGAAGGGGCTGGGGAAATCAAAGGCAGTCACTAGGGCTCAGGATTAGCCTACTGTGTGCCCCAGAAAAGGTGCTGGGCTCCTCTGGGCCTCTGTGTCTTCCTTGGTCACACAGAGCTGGAATAAGCCTCCGCGCACACTCTCCGCAGCGCCCCAGGGCAGGCGCCGCCAGGATGCTGTGGGGCGAAGCCCAGTGCCCACACGGAGGCAGGACGGCGGGAAGAGTGTTGCTCTGCATCACACCCGCAGACCACCAGCCTGAGCCCGGACCCTGCCACTCACTAGCTTGTCACCCTGGGCAAATAACTTCACCTCTCCAATCCCTGGTTAGTTCTTCCGTAAAACAAGGGCAGGAGAATGACCGTCTTCAAAGGGTTGTTGTGAGGACGAAATGATAACGCATCTGCTACGTCTTAGTGCTGTCCTGGCATTCAGTGATTCTTCAACAGATATTAGCTATTATCATTAGGCTCTAAGGCCCCGGCTGGACTTCAGGGCAGTGCCTCTGCCCCTACAGTTAAAGGAACAGCAGGAAAGGGGCAGAGGGAGACCCCGAGGCTTTGGCTGAACAGGGGTAGCCGCGGCAGGGGTGCACAGTGGTGGGGGCAGGCGGGGAGGGGGTTGGCCCCAGCCTGGCCCGAGCCTGATGCAGCTCCATGCACACACCCTTCCAGGGTTCCTCTGCCTGCAGTAAGGCTAGAAGCAGAGGACGCAGCTCTCGGTCCCACTGAGCCAGGCCGCAGGCAGCACGCTGCAGCCACTGAAGGCCGGATGCCGTGCTCTCGGCTGCAGGCAGGGCGGGCTGGCCACGGCCACACCACGGCCACACTGAGCGAAAGAGCCCCAAGGGGAGGGACTGGGACCTGACCAGCTGTGTTAGTACATCTGCCCTCAGGCTCTGGGGGGCTATGGAACTCGGGGTGCTAGGAGGGGCCTCAGAGATCCCCTTAATCCCACTTGTACACCACAGGTGTGAACGAACAGGTCTAGACTGCAGGGTTCCAGGCCTGGCCTCCTGGGCGGTGCAGCCTCTTCCCTGGCCTGGATGTCCAGCAGGGCGGCCACTGCCGGGTGGGATCTTCCCGGCAGCGCGCCCCTCCCCCCACGGCAGAGGGACTCCTCCATACTCAGATACTCCGGCAGGCGCAGGCAGGCCTCGCTACTCAGGGGCACCTGAGAAGAGCTGCCCTGCGACCTCATCCCAGAGCTCTCACCTTGGGCAAACCTCCTTTCTCTTCTCAGATTTCAGGGGAGGCGCCCTGAACTTCATTTTTCCCTTGCCGATGCAGCCCTCTGCCAGACATCCAGCTGGCACACGCACCCCATGCCCAAGTCTGCCTCTGCGAGTCTACTGCCAAGATCCCATGAAGGAGCGGCCTCTGTTCACGGTTCAGCAAACACTCACACTGAGCACCTACTACGTGCCAGATCGTAAAGCAAGACGTGAGCCCGCTTACCCATGAGCTCACCGCTGGTTAGGAAATTTTTCTTATACAGTAACCACGCATCAGGTTTTGTGTCTGTTTCATAGAAATTTCCTCTAAGGGCCCTGATTCAACACATGCAAAGGCCCAGAGGGGAGTTTTCTGTTCCGACCAGAGCAAAACAAGTGGACCTGAGACCTAGAGGGTAAAAGGGAGTGGAGTGAAGAGAACAAGGCCCTGCAGGCCATGGTAAGGCACAGGGACTTGCTCGGGGCAGAGGGTCCTGAGTTCATTTCTGCTTTCATCAGCGTGCCCCTTGGTCAAGCTAAGACCATGGTGCAGCCTCCCCCTACCTGGGCCTGACAATTATTCAAATGCCTCCCCTGCAGGAGCCCCGAAATGCAAGGCCTTACTGTCAGTGGTGTCCGAGTTGTCGCTGCTGATGGAGTATTTCCGTCTCTTCTCTTCCATCTGCAACAAAAGGCAGGCCCGTTATACTCGCGCCTTGGGAAACCCTCAACCTCTCAGAAAATCACCCCACAACCTAAACCGCCCCACGACCTCCCACCCCACGCACGACCTCCCACCCCCACGGTTACTCCACCCCAGAAACATCAGCCCCTGCCCCAGCCTTTGTCTAGAACAGCCCCACCCTCTCCCACCCACCCACAGAGGTGCTGGGTTGGGAGAGGAGGCTGGCCAAAGCTGACAGAGAGAGAGGGAGAGGGCATGCGGGGTCGGCAGGCTCACACTTAACAGTGACCGTGACCTGCCCAGCCCGGCTTCCACTCCAGGAAACCCAGGCCCACCGGCAAGCCCACTTCCCCCGCTGCAAAGGCCTCCTGCGCTGCACCCCGCTGAGGCGCGGGGAGGGCAGAAACAAGGCTGATTTCTCCAGGAGGGCCACACCATGCAAAGCTGGGGACAAGCCAGCAGGGACAGCACTGAGGGCACAGTCCTGAGCGTGGGGCCAGCAGGGTGCAGAAATGGGATGGGGGGAGGGGAAGTGCCAGCTGCCCCCCCCAGATACATGCGCCCAGGTGTCTGGCCCTGGGCTGGGCAGCCCTGCCCTACCCCCCGCCCCGGATAAAAGCACAAACGCACTTCATCTCACCTGGAATATCTAACTTCAAGGGAGTAAGGGCGGCTCTCTCCAGCCGGCCTCACAGGGAGGTCCCTGCACAGGGAGCTCCCGCACGGGCAATCCTCTATCCACCCGCACTGCCTCCTGATCCTAGCCCGGCAGCTGTGACCTGCCAGCTCCACTTACAGGCTAGTAATGGGCCGGAATGGGACTTGATGCGAGGTCTGATCCCCGGGCCCACGCTGGGCTGCCTTTGAGGCCTCCATCAGCGCCTGCAGGTGGGAAGTGTTTTCCCGACATTATCCCATTATTTGCTCTACTCCAGAAGAGTCCTGGGTGGCGGGGCCTGCTCTGGGCGCCCCAGAGGGGAGCACACCTTGCTCACCTGCTCTAGGTCTTACAGCCTGTGGCTGAGCCCTACTGTGACAGCAGACCCAGGGCTCAAAGTTCAGAGCGCTTCCCCCCACCGTCCTGTTCGTCCTGAGACTGCCCTGCTGCCCACAGCAAAGGCCACAGAGGGCGTCTGTCGGGAAGAAGGCCCCATGGCCCAGCCACTTGCAGGTCAGCCAGGCCCCCACCCCAGCGCAGGACCCTATCTGCTGCCTAACACCCGCCGCCGCCGCCCCCACCCCCGGCTGCTCCTGCTGAGCCCCGGGGGACCCCTATCTCACTGTGGCCCTGCAGAGACCAGGGAGCATCTGTTCTCCTAGGCCCACGTGACTACCCAGATCTCTGAGCTGACCAGGATGACCCTCCTGCCTCGGGCTCGGCCTCGGCCAGGAGTTTCTTCTCTCCACCCAGTGTCCCCCAGCGGCAGGATCAGGATGGCAGCAAGGCTCAGCGGCTGCTGCCCAGCTCCAAAGGTAAAGTGCCCTCCAGGGGGCGAGGGACCAAGGGACACCTGGGAGTGCCAGTAGCTTGGATGCCAGGGAGGCACGAAGAAGGACGGCTAAGACCGCTGAGCACCCACTGGGGCAGGTGGCACCATGGGACACACAGGCCTCCCTGACCTTAGCACAGCCCTTCTTTGTGGGTGGGTATGACGGCCACCTGGCTCTTGCGGAGGAGAAAACTGAAGCTCAGAGGTTAAGTGACGTGCCCAAGCTGACAGGGCTTGCACACGACTCGGGAGCCCCCGCTCCTGACCTGCAGACTGCCCTGCCTCTGGGAAGCAGAGCGCAAGCAGCCCAGCAACCCACAGCCGCCAGCCCCGCTGCCCTCCAGGGTCTAGTGTCCAGAGCAGACGTCCTCAAACTATGGCCCGAGGGCCACCTGCGGCCCACCAAGGACATTTATCCGCCCCACCGGGTGTTTCTGCCGCTGCTGCCTGTCCTGCTTAGAAGCCAACTTGTCCCGGGCCCACAGTGCGCATGTGTGGAATGTGCGCCGCACTCTCCAACGGCCTTCCAACGGTCTGAGGGACGGTGACCTGGCCCCCTGTTTAAAAGGTTTGAGGACCCCTGGTCCAGAGTGTGAGGACCAGCACTCTGGGAGGCTGAGGCAGGAGGATCACTTGAGGTCAGGAGTTTCGAGACCAGCCTGAGCAACACAGCCAAGACCCCATCTCTACCAAAAATACAAAAAAATTATCTGGGCGTGGTGGCGCATGCCTGTAGTCCCAGCTACTCTGGAGACTGAGGCAGAAGGATCGCTTGAGTCCAAGAGTCTGAGGTTTGCAGTGAGCTATAATCATGCCACTACCCTGTGCCCGGGCAACAAAGCGAGGCCCCGTCACTAAAAAAATTAAATAAATAAAATAAAAAATGAAAAGAGGGCGAGGAAGGCTGCCTCCTCCAGCCCAGCTCTGCCCCGTGGCCAGCAGGGCAGGAGTCAGGGGAGGTGCTGCAGACAGGCCCACCGTTTCCCTCCTGCAGTCGTGCACGGGGAATTCCGTTTCTCTTCCTTTCCAGCGAAGGAAAAGGGCGCTTTCCAGCCAGGGTCCCCCACAGCAGTAAAAGTCGGGGCTGTGGATTCAGGGGTGACAGGTTCGGATCCTAGCTCCAGCCCTCGCTAGACCAAGGACGATGGGAAAGACATATACCTCCCAGAAGACTGGGTCTGGCTTTTTTACATAAATTTCCTGAATTTAAAATGTTGGCAACTGAGTCAGAATTTTTAAAACACTCAGCGAGGGCCAAGCTAAACATATGTGCGGGCCAGAACCAGCTGGGGAGCGGCAGCGAGAGCAGCGTGCAGCCTGAGCTCCGTGGCCGGAGAGCCACTCGGGCGCCAGGTACTAACCCCGCGGCAGCCCCGGGCCGGGTCGGCGAGTCCCCACCCGTGCTCACCTGGGGGGCTCCTCTGACAGGGGGGGCAGTGGCCTTGCAGAGTAAGGAAGGTCCCCTAGAACAGACACCTCGACTGCCCACGTCCTTCTCACGATGCCGCTGCCTGCTGTCCAGGGCCCGACAGGTGACTGACTGCCAGCACGCTGCCCTCCACCCCACGCTGAGCCAGCTCCCCGTCCAACCTGCCCTCCACGAAACGCCCCAGAGTGCCCAGCTATCGATCGTGCTTCTGGGTCAGGGCTGCCCCGGGACAGGCTATCATTAAGGGAGCAGGTCGAGAGGTAGCTTAATTGGAGTAATAACTAGTTCTCGGAGGGAAGCCACCGTGTTGTAAGTGAGGCTTCTCTCCTTTGAACCAAGTCTTTCCCAAAGGCCCACCTGCCTCCAGTGAGCCCCACACACACACACTGTCACCGTGGCTGATCAAGTTCCAAATGAGGCCCGGGGCCCCGTGAGACCGCCTTTTGTCCTATGAATCACTCTCGTCCCCAACCGAGCAACGGTGCAGGGAGGGCCCCTTTACCAAAGCCGAAAAATCCAGGACTGCGAACAAACGCCACTGGGGGTGGGGGTGCCGAGACTGGATCTTGGCCTTTCCCTCTCCACTGGCCCCTCCAATCTCCCTCACAGCAAAGTCTGCTCTGGGAGAAGAGTGTCTCCGTGTCACAAGGCACTTGCTTTTAGGGACAGGAAGCGCTCCTGAAATCCTACCTACACAGGAGACTCTAGGAAAGAAAGGCTCTCCTCTTCCTGCCATTGCACCTGTCCTGTCGACCCCAGCATGCAGACACCTGTAGGAAGCTTTCCTTTGCAGGAAAGCTCTGGGGGTGCCCCAGAGCCCCCTCTACGGACAGGAAGCCACGGCCTCTCTGAGCTTCCTCGCCTGCAGCCAGGCCTTGGCAAGTCCTCTGGGCTCTGCCTCCAGAACACATCCACGTTCTTCATCTCTGCTGTCAGCTCGCTGATCCAAGTCACCCTCATCTCTTGCCTGGAGCCCTTGTTCATCCCCCAGCTTGCACCACCGCTCCCCCGTAATCCAGACACCACACAGAGCGAATCTTAGAAAGCATAAAGCAGAAGCCCAGAGCAGTGGTGCGCAGTCCCAGCTACCCAGGGGGCTGAGGTGGGAGGGCCACTTGAGGCCGGTTTGACACCGGCCCTCGCAACATGGCCAGACCTCATCTCCAAAAAATAGAAAAAATTAGCTGGATGTGGTGGCTTGTCCCCATAGTCCCAGCTACGTGGGAGGCTTAGGTAGGAGGATTGCTTGAGCCCAGGAGTTCAAGTCCAGCCTGGGCAACACAGCAAGACCCCATCTCTAAAAAAAAAAAAAAAAAAATTTAAAGCATAAATCAGATCACATCATGTCCCTGTTGAAAATCTTTCAAAGGCTTCTTGCTGACCAAAGGACAAATCTCAACCTCCTGACCACAAGACTCTACTCGATCTGGCCCCTGCCTACCTGGACAAGCTCATATTACCCCTTCCTTACCACTTTCTGGCCACACTGGCCTTCTTTCATTCCCTGACACGAGCCAAGGATTCCAGGCTTCAAGACCTTTGCACAGGGGACTCGCTGCCTATCATGCTCTTCTATGTGGTCTGCGCATGTCTGACTTTTCACCCTTCCACTCTGAGCTTCAATGTGGCCTATGCCAGTCTATGCCGATGTCCCTATCTTAAGAAATTCACCACCGGTGTCTTCAGAGCACCCACCACAGCTGTTGTCTGTTGGGCTACTTGTTGAATGTCCTTCCCCTTGGCGATGTACATGCCACAGGGGACAGGGAGCCTTCCGTCTCGATCTCTCAGCAGCCCCCTCACCTTGCACCCAGCTCATCACAGGGAGTGCCAGGCGTGCTCCTGTCCCCTCCTGCCAGCGGTGCTGGGACCACACAGCCCAGCTGGCCTGCCCGTGGCTTGCAGGAACAAACACCCCAGCCCAGGATCTCGCCCTGTTTTCACAGCCTGCCTTCCCCGTCTTAACCTCACACATTTTCCAAGAGGCTTTATTTGGTTGGGCTCCTGGCTAATGATCAATGTCAACTCAGTAATAGGGCAGCAATTTGGTGGCAGATGTTTTCTTGGCAGCACTAGCCATTGGTCTTGGTGGGGGCCTCAGGTCTGGACTTGAAACACCAATGCCCAATGCCAGCCCCCTTTAAAGACCTCTCTGCAAACAAACTCAAATAAACACCCCGGGCCTCCATTAACGCCCTTCCAGCTGACCCTGGGAACAGTGGGCCTTTCAGGCCGGCTCCTGCAGCCGCTCCCAGGGCAGTTAAAACACCCCGACCTGGCCTCCAGCTTCTGCTCTCCCGGGGCCACCAGGCCTGCCCTGCCCGCCACCACACACAGCAGGATTTCGTCCTCCTCCTTAAAAAAAGGGGGGGAAAAGGGCTTTCAAGCAGGCAATTTACCATTCCAGACACAATCTTTCAAAGAGAAACAAAAACTCTCCCTGTCTGAGGCAGACCGCTAAGGCGTGTGTGTAATAAGATGCTAATACAATTTAATGATATTTCGGCTGGAAAACCTGTCCTCAGAGCCCCCTTGTGTCGGGAAGGCCAGACATTCAGAAAACAAGAGCTGCACACTCTTAAACCACTTTAAACGGGGGTCAGAGCCCCGCTCTTTCCTATCTCTCATTAACTTTAATGCCGTCTCAGGGACAGCAACTGCAGTCACAGAAATGATCCCGTGCGCACAGAGGGAGGGCTGCCGCCTGGAACCCTCGGCCTGGCCTCGAGACCTGCTTCTCCAAGCCTGGGGAGCTGAACCCTCCTGCGACACCCATGACTGCCCACCTGCGATGCCAGTGTCCCCAAGGGCACCTGGCTGCCCAAGCACATGCCGCCCACGCCCACCCTCTGGGCCGTTGCTGGGGACACCCTGAGTGGTGCTGGGAGAACGAGGGCTCGGTCTACTTTGTCCTTGGCCCCTTCTCACCCTACTCTTCGCCTCAGAGAGGGCAGAGCTCAGGCCGCTGGCTCCCACATCTGGCTGCCCGCTGGCCCCGGCAGGATCCTCTGACCCCTTCTTCAGAGAAGGGAGCTGGCTCTCTGGCCTAGCCTAAAGGTGAGAGATCAAAGGTCAAAGCTGCACTGGGGCCCTCCCCAGGTCATTGATAAAAACAGTAAGAATGGCTAATACCAATCAAGTACTTACCACGTGCCCGGCTTTGGGCTTACGTCTTTCTTAGGCAACATATCGCTCACTCTGCACACCCGCCATGGGGCAGGTGCTGCTATGAAGCAGATAAAGAAACTGAGGCACAGAGCCATCATCACAGCTGGCAAGTGCACAGGCAGGACTCACACCTAAGCTGACTGCAGAGGGTGTACCCCATCCCCGGTCGGCTGAAGTGCACAGGCCTGTGAGTTCCTGGGCCTGCATGGGGGTACTCCTGTGGGCTGTCTGAAGGCAGACTTTGAGCTGGGACCTGTGGCTTTTGAGCCACACGGTACGGGCCCTTTCTGGAGGACAAGGCAAGCCAGGGGTACCCTAACCTGCCCAGCTCTCACCTGCCCTCCCCGTCAGAGAACCTAAGGAGAGAACTGCGAGCTCCCAGAGAGCTGTGCTCGTGCTGGGAAGACTTTGGACTGGAAGCCGCTCCCCAGGTCACGAGCAGAAGACAGCCACCTCCGTGTGGACAGGAGCACCCTGCCCCCAACCGAAGGATGTGAGAGTCAGTGTCCAAGGCCTAGCCGCAAGACTGTGGTGTGTCTGGCCCGGGGCCAGCGGTGCCAGCTCACCTGTCAAGGAGAGCTAAGTGGAGATTTCTGACAGCCTCTTGGATGGCCGGCACTGGCTGTTTGGCCAGGCAATTTAGGGGAAGGAAAAGCATTTTGGATGGGAAAACATTCTGGAAACGTTTGCTGCATCCTGAGCCCAAATAACTCTACCCTTAAACACTTCATCTCCAAAAGTGCTGGGAAGACCCTTGGCCAAACAGTTTCAAAACCAACATTCACTGTGAGTCCCGCGGCCTGGGGCGGGGACTTCCCTCTGAGAGGCATTTGCTGCAGAACCAAACGCTTTTCCACTCAAAACAACAGCCAACAGCACTTGGGACTCCAGATCAAACAAACATCCCTTTTTTCTCCTACCATGCAAACTTTCTCAATAAATTATTCGCCCACTTCGGATCAAAGCCTGTTTTTGCAGCCTGTGACCTAAAAAGCAAATAGCATCTCTTAAACATGAAAGCCCTCCTCCCTGCCTGGGTCAGCTTTATTACTCATTCCTTCCTTCTTACAGTTATTCTGTTGTTATTTTCCTCCTCTGCTTGTTAGATCGCTGTGCGAGTCCCAACCCGTCTGGGGAAGACGGGACAGGACGGATGGTGCGTTCATTTGGGGCCCTAAGGTGAGAGAGGAAGGCAGGGGTGGGGAGAAGCCAACACCCTGGGAACCCAGGAAACAGGGCCAGGCCCGGTTGGCAGCTCCCTGCCCAGCCCTTTTGCCAAATGTCCTACTGGGAATTTTACCAGTTAAGGGAGGGAGTTAATGCTACTCTGGGAGGAGGGGCCACGCGGCCCTACCACCTCCCGGGCCCAAGAGTCAGTCTGCAAACATAACCGTGAATAAGGAAGCGTCCTGACAGCTTCCCTGGGCTCAGCGCTCAGGGCTCCTCCCCCTTGCAACAAAGGCAGGGAGCGGGCCCATCCAGCCCCGTCCCGACTCCTTTGGAGCTGCCCTGGAGGCAAGCCACGGCATCTCCGCATGACCCCTGCAAACTGGCCAGCATAAAACTTTGTGCCTCGCCACCCTGCAGAAGATGAGCCTGGGGTGCCAGGCGCAGGGCGAGGTGCGGAGCTCTGCAGTGAGCCCTGGCCAGGGCGGAGCGCGCGGCACCCCTCCCCCCCAGCCCCCGCGCGAGGCCAGGGGCCAAGCTGGAGAAACAGCGCCGGCCGGCGGCGGCGGGGACGGGGTGCGGCCTCCAGCCTGCCCCTGGAGGCGGCCCGCGGGAGCGCAGGCCCGCGGCGCGCCGGCGTGATTCCTGCCGCGGGAGCCGGGAGGAGGAGCCGGAGGTGGCTGCGGGGGGCTCCGGCCCCGGCGAAGGCAGGGCAAGAGGCGGCGCGGGCCGGGGGCGGCGCCGGGCGGGGGTGGGCTTGCCGCCCGGCGGAGGGGTTTGGAGCCGCGGAAAGGCGGCCGAGCCCCGGCGCGGGGCGGGCTAGTTAGGACGGCGTGCGGGGCTGGGCCTCCGGAGGCCCGGGAGCAGCCTGCCCGGCGGTGTCCGGCGTCCTCGGCACCCGCAGCGCAGCCACGAGCCGCCCAGGGGACCCCGCACCGCCTGGCCGCGGGGAGAGGGCGCGTCGGGGCCCGGGCTGGGCGGGAAGCGGCCGCGGAGCCACAAGTCTGCGCCCGGCGGGGAGGCGGCGGGCGGGAGCCGCTCCGCAGGCGCAGGCGAGTGGGTGGGGAGGCGGGAGGGTGAGGAGGAAGGAGGCGAGGCCGGGAAGATGCCGCTGCCGGGGGCGGGGCGGGGCCGGGGATCCGGCGGAGGGACTGCAGCAGAGCTCGGTGGGGGCGGGGGCTGCAGTGTCACTCATCTGGGAATCAGGTGTGCGTCCCAGACGGGGTCCGCCGCCGGCCCTCGCCTGCGCACTCCCGGGCCACCCGGGGCGCAGGGGCGGAGGGCAGGGGGCTGCGGCTCCGTCCCCAGAGCGGGACGCGAACCGGCCGAGTTGGGAGAAGGTAAACAAGGGCCACGCCCCCTGCCGTCGCCCCGCGGGCGCGCACCCGCCGCTCCGGCCGCCGCCGGTACATTTCCACTCTCCCCGCGCCGCTCCCCCGCCGGGCTCCCGCGCGGCCGCGGAGGGGGCGCTGCCCCCGGCCCCAGCCCGCGCCCTGGCGCCGGCGCTCCGCACCCGCCACACTCACCTGGAAAAGGTGTCCCCCGCCCTCCAGGAAAACTGTGTCTAATTTGTGCAGAGCCTCAGAGCCCAGAAGCCGAGCATGCTGCCCCCGCGTGCAGCGCCCGCGTGCAGCCGGCCCGGAGAGGGGGCGACAGGGCGGAGGCGGTGGCCCCCGGAAGGTGTCTGGGACCGGACCGGCTGCACGTGAGCCCAGCGCGAGGTCATGTGCACCGGCTCAGCCCGGTTCGGCGCCCGGACGTGCTGCGTATCAACAAAATGAAACTCGGGGAGACAGGAGGGCAGATAGCTCCGGGTTCTCCGAGCCCCCGCCCCCGGCCGCTCGACCCCCCGACCCCTACCGGCACCCATCTCCAGTCGCGGCCCGCCGCCCGGCCGGAGCCCGCGGGGCAAGTTGCAGCCCCGGCGCGCCCCCGCCCGCCCGCGCCCCCTCGCCGGCCCGGGGGCGCTTTGCCGCAGTCATTAATAAAGAAGGTCGCCAAGCTCACCCTTCCAAAAGTTGTTGTTGCATGCGCCCCTCTCGGCCTCCCCGCACGGTACTCTTTAAAACACGACTGACCAACATGCGCAATCTCTCCCCGGTGCCGTGCATCCCCCCACCCCCCGCGCGCTGGCTTCCTAGAACAGGCAGCCAGCAGGAGAGAGAGGGAGCGAGCGAGCAAGCGAGAGAGCGAGGGAGCGAGGAGCGCTGGCAGATCTGTTGCAAAAACACCAAATAACGCCGCGGAGATGCGCAGGGCTCCTCCGCCGGGGGCCGGGTCTTACCTTGCTCCGCGGTGCCCTCCCGGGGGGCGCTGCCCTCGGCTACGCGCCGCGGCGGGGGCCGGCGCGGGAAGGATGCTCCCGAAACCAGGAGCTCCCGGGGCCGGCGCGGGAGGGCGGGGGGCGCGCATCCATCCGGGGTCGCGGCGAGGGAGGCGGCCGGGCCCGCGGCGTCCCCGGCCCCACGCCCCTGCCGGGGACGGCCAGCCAGCCGGACCTGAGCCGGTGCTGCTAGGAGTGGGCGCAAAGTAACTCCATGGACGCTGCTCGCCCCCCCAAAATGCAGCCTCCGACTGCGATGGCCGCGGTCGGCACCATTCACCAACCCCCTGTGTATGTTTCTGTTTCTTTTTAAACCAAGACTTCCTTGTGATCTCTTTAGAAAAAAAAAATGTGTTGGGGTGGGGGTGGGGTGGGGGCGGGCAGGAGGAGCAAGGGAGGGGGAGTAGCTACTTTTTTCTTATTCACTCGGATCTCCGCTCGCGACACCCCCGGCGCCCCCCTCCCCCCGCCGCCCAGTTGTTTGGCTCCCGGGCAGGTCCAGGTAGCGCTGCGGGCGCCGGGGGAGGGGGCCCGGCGGCCGGCCGCCCGCCCGCACCCTTGGCTCGGACGCCCCATGGGCTCTGGGGCGCCCCCAGCCCGCGCGTCCCCAGGGCCGGGCCGAGCGGCGGCTGCGCCCCAGCAAGTCCCATCAGGTCCGCCCGCACTCCGCACACTCGCGCGCCGCCCTCCACTCGCCACTCGCACTTTCCGCTCACACCCCGCCCCCTTCGCGCCCCGGACCCGGGCGGCGCCCCCCGCAACCTTAAAAAAAAAAAAAAAACAGAAAAGAAAAAGCCAGCAAGCAAGCTTATACTTAAAAAAATCTTTTGGCGCCATATTAATGACGTACTTAAAATTTGCCATTTCTCCCTGCGTCAAAAAGACGTTTCTTTGCAAATAACAGCCTGGAGGCGACACTCGCGGAGGGAACGAGGTTTGCAGCGAGCACCCCGCCCCCCGGGGCTCGGCTGGGGAGACCCTCGCCCTAGGCCCCGCTTCGGAATCGCCAGCTTTAAAATGCGAACCGAATAAATCGCGTGGCGTTTTTGCAGCGCCAGAAGTGAGCAGAAAGTGCTGGCAGGAGGGGAGCGGAGGGGAGGGGCGCGCGCCAGCCTGGGGGAGGGGGCGCGGCCCTCCCCCCAAAATGGGAACATCCCGGGCGGGGGAAACTTGAAACTGTGGGCGACCTCGAGAAACGGGGGGCGGTCCGTAGAGAGGGTCCCTAGTGGGCTCGTCGCCCTCTCCCCTCCCTGGTGCCTCCTGGCGCCTAACGCTGCCCCGCATTTCCGGGGCTCGGGGAACGCAGTGATGGGTGGGTGGGTAGCCTGGCTGCACGTCCTGGCCTCTGTAGGATTTCTGCCCCGGGGCATCCCCTTCCCCCTTGCTAATCCCTCCCTTCCCCCTAAAGGGTTAAATAACGAGGGGCAACTTCCAAGGGCTGGCACTTGGCGAGGAAGCGGGGCGCCCCTCTCCCCACCCTCGCCTCCTCGCCCCTCCTCCTCCGGCTCCACTTCCCGACTTGACCTTGTGGTGCACAAACAGTGCGCTCGGATCCTCGCAGTTTCTGGAAGAAGAGCCTGCGCTCGCCAGGCGGGCGGGCTGTCGGGCTGCTCGCCGGCGCTGGCGGGGCCTTGGGTCGGTTCCCAGAGCCGCGGGCCACACCCACCCAGCCCGCTGCGCCCGCCGCGCTCACCTTCTCTCGAGGAAGGGGCAGGGCTGGCCTCCGGGATGGGGAGGGATGGGGGTCAAGCTTCAGCCTCCTCAGAATGCCCTTAGCTGGGGAGGGGGTGGTCTGGCTTCGGGGGCAGGTTGGGGGAGATCGGGGAGCCTGGGCCAGCATCCCCAAAGCACCCTTGCCAACTTTTTCTCAGCCCCTCTCTGGGCTATCCCTAAAAGATGATCCAATAATTTTTTTACGCTCACCTTTGGCTTTGAAGGCACGTGGGTGAGTTGTGAATGGGGACAGGAGTGGCCTGGGTCCCTCTGTGAGACTAAAGGTTGTTTTCCCCTCCTTTCCTCTCCACCCCCTTCTGTGGAAAGATAAATATTCAATTTACATAAGATGACATTTATGTGACAATTAGGAAGATTCCCCGATGGAATGTTGTGAACACATTTGCTTATAGGAGAAATAAATCTAATAATAAACAAACTCATAATAACAGCACAAATCCTCCGACAGGGTGGATCGTCTACCCAACAAAGAGGGAGATGATGGATGCTGAAATAAGCACTTTTTGCAACAAGAAAGAAATATGAGCTCAAAGGGAATCGCTGCAACATTTCTCTTCCTTGGCCTTCATTCACAAAGTCTGCGGAGAATCTCGTCTGGCAGGAGGAGGGGCTGGGTATCACCTCCCAGTTAAACCTAGCTCTGGCTCTTAAACCTAGCTCTGGCTCTTGGTGGTCAATTAGTAGAGTTTTTTCCCAAGCCAAGCTCAGTGTCTGGAAACAGGTGTCGCTGACTGGGAGTGTGTAACAAGATGGTTAAATACCTGGGTTCTAATTCTGGCTTCGCAGTTCAGAAACTGTGTGATATGAGCAAGTGAATATCATCTCTCTGGGTCTCCTTTTGCTCTTGTAAAAAGGAGTAGTTCGTGGGTCTCTTGAGGCCATGTGTGCACACGTACATATATGCATATTTGCACATCTGTGTGCTGTATGTGTAATGCAGGGCCTGGCTCAGAGGGCACGCTAGCACTTTGCCTGGTACCTAAGTTCTTTTGGAAGGATGAAAGCACCCTCTGAAAGCTCATTAACTGGGGCACAATAATTTCTGTCTTGCCTTCTGTGAGGACCTAGGCAAGGTCTCCCCGCGTAGGCAGAAGGAGGAGAGAAAACTGATGGTGGTGGGCTTGACAGTGAGGCCCAGACAGCAGTGTCAGCCACATGTCTGGGGTGGGAGTGAAGGCACCAGTTTGCAGTGACACAGTCTTAAGGGGACTGCTCCGGCTGGGTCTGGTCACGAAGGGTTTACATGCAGGAGAGGCCAGGACAGTCCTCCTCCTGCTAGCCGTCAGGATCCCACCAGCTGGAATGGGAAGATGCCTTGGCAAGCAGTTATGAAAAGATCTCTAGAGGTGGAAGACGGAAGGGATGGCCGTCTTACAGAGCATCTGCTCTGGGCCGTGCACGGCGTGAGCTGCTCCATGTCATCCTCCCGGCAGCCCCGTCTTACCTGTTCAGAAAGGTGTAGCAGCTTACCGACAGTTACACTGGTAAGTGGCCGCAGAGTTGGCTCTTGGGCCCAGCTGACCTTGAGGCCTGTGTGGTTTCGTTTTGCCCCAGCAACGGAAAGTACTAGTGTTACTGGTTTGACTGGGGATGGGGGGTCCGAGGAAGAGAATTTTGCAAGCGGCACTTTGCCTCTGAGATGGTTCCCTGAACTTGGGGTGAGGCCCAGGCCCTCTACCAAGGCCTTGGAAAGCCCTCTTGTCCGGGACCGCGAGCCTGGCCAGAATCTCTGGACTGCCATGGCTGTCTGCTACTGTTTGAGGTTAACCTTAGAAGCGTTAACGGAATGATAACGATAAAGCTAATTATAACTCTTTAATCTATTAAAAGTCTCCCAAATCATTCATTAACTTTTTACAGGAAAATGAGAAGAAGCAGAGTTCTTGGAGATGTTAATCATTCATTTTTTTCCAACAAGTATTTATTGAGTGCCTCCTGTATGCCAGGCTCCATTCTAGGTGCTGGGGACAGGACACAAACCAAGCAGAAAAAATGCCTGGTCTTGCGGAACTTACTTTCTTGTGGGCGGAGAGACACAATTAAAAAATATGTGATGTTGACAGTCATTAAGTGCTATGGAGAAAAATAAGTCGGGAGGGGTGATACGCAGTGTGGGGCAGTCGGGGAGGATCTCACTGAGAAGGCAGCTTTCGAGGGAGGTGAAGGAGCAGGCTGCAGGTAGGAATCTATACGTGCGTGAGGGTGTGTTCTAAGCCTGAGCTTCTTTACCTGGAGTCCACAGACTTCCCTCTCCATAGGTCTGTAAACTCGGGGCATCTTGACCTTAGATGGGGAAAAAAAATTACAACTTTATTTTCACTAATTAAAATCTAACATATTCTTCAATTTTGAATACAGGCAACAAATCAGTGATATTAACAGCACCTGTGACATTGTTGCTAGTAGAAATCACAGATATTTTCATATCATAGCTGTTGCAGATATCTTAAGATATCATAACACTCATCACCACTGCAAAATTATGCTGCTAGCTCTTGTAATTTAATGAATTAATAAAGAAGCACATATATTACTATATTACACATTTTTAAAATAAAATATTTTGAGAGTTGTATTTCAGTATAATTGATTTTCTTTATAATTTATGGAAATTTTTGTACAGATTTATGGATACTCTCCTCAGGAGGAGTCCATGGGCTTCACAGACTGTCAGAATGGTCTGTGACACACACACAAAAAAGTCCGGGACCACTGTGTCTGCAGAGACCGGCAGGTGCACAGGCTCCGAGGCAGGAGTGTGCTTGATGTGTCAGTGGAAGAGGTTAACTAGGGCCTTGCGGGTCGTTGTTAGGAATTTGGCTTTTGCTGGAGTGATATGGAGGGTCTTGAGCAGAAACGTGAGTGACATCATCTGACACTGGATTTCACAGGTCACTCAGCTGTTATCTGGAGAACAGGTTGAAGGGGACAAGGCTGAAGCAGGAAGACCATTTAGGAGGTCACTAGAATAAACCGGGTAAGAGATGATTGGACCAGAGTGGAAGTGGTAAGAAGTGGTC